AGTTTCATCTGCAACTCGATCTGAAAATCCACCTTCCGTTCCTGGTTTTGCGTGACAACGTCGCGCAGCTACTTATTATATAATATGTATTTGTAAAAAATGTCAGAAAAAATGCCATTTTGTTTTATTTGAAATAAATTAAAAATTATTCTAACATTTTTTTTTTACAAATTCTTTTTTATAAGCTTAAGCTGGTGGTTATTAAAGTTTCGAGAGTATATGGTTGTTTTAAAGTTCTACTCATATCCATAGCTTAATAAAAAATTCTAGTAGTCCTAAATCAATTAAATGTCGATTGGTATGGTACGAGGAGATTTGATTGGCCATGTATGTCGATCATATGGTTGGTGGGCTAGCTCGCTTTATCGCTTTATGAACCCTTTATTTAATTTGCATTACCGTTACTCGCAATATAGTCAACCCTCTTAAATGCGTGGCGTATGTACGAAAAAATTAGATAACGTGTGCTTAGAGTAATATTGAATTTAAGAAGATAAATTCTATATTATTTGGGGTCAAGTGGAAACGTGCATTTAGGGGTGCATTTAGGGTCTAACTGTACGTACGTATGTAAGTTCGACATAATGCGTCAAATTTCATTGATCGTTACCACCCCTCATATCGTAGAAGAATAATATATTCTGTACTATTGTCATAAGAATTACCGAGAAACCTCCCTAAAGGCCACCAATGTATATTCAGAGACATTAAGAAAAATTGTGCTTAGGAAAGTACATTTACGGAGGCAATGCACTTAAAGGGTGCATATAGGGAGGTCTCTCTGCATTTGATAATATTATCTTCTAATTTCGGCTTATTATAAGATAATTGTGCTTTCATAACATTGAAAAGCTTTTATGACATATTCGTTATTAATTAAACCGGTAATTAAAGGTTGTTAAGCACTTACAAAAATCAGATGATTGTTGACAAAAGGAGAATTTTTGTACTACATGAAGCGATAAAGCACTTTTCTTTATACCGTACATAAATTAAAATTTTAATATTTAGATGTAAATATACTATTAGATAAAAAATTAAATATATCTTTTAATTTAAAAAAACTCCAATGGAAAAACCGAGGATTTTCCAATAGTACACGAAATCATGGTCCTCAAGATATATTTATGTAAATAATAATAATTTTCATTTTTGTATATTGGCTAAATATCTTTTAAAATAAAAAAAAAAACAATCAATTTTTTGATTTATGAAATATATGAGAAAATATTTCAAAATTTACAACATTAAACACTTGACACGACTCAATAAATTTTTAGAAACACCTTACTTAATTAAATAATAAATATTTATATAAAAAGGTTTCACTAAGATGAGAGAGCGACCCAAATAAACGAATTGTTACAAAAATATATTAAAAAAGAATGAATCCTATTTGCGTTTCGTTACTCGAACTCTGACTACGTTTGATTGTAATGACGGCATAATAAGATAACCTTTGCGCTAACGAATTTGAATTTTAGATAATTCTCACAAATTATAGAATGTAAGATGAGAAAATTCATTCGCTCATGTAATCGATGAGAAAAAATTTGCATATGTGTACGTACATAAATAAACGGTCGAACATTGCGTCAACATATATAAATTACATGACTCCGTTAAAATGGTAAGTCATTGTTTGTAACACATTTTTGCCGCAAGTAATACATGATAAACGATTAATGGATAAGGTTTGAAATACGGAGATATTGTAAAAGGACCTACGAAGAGAAAATTATTTACATAGATGGAAGTCGGCTTATAATTGTGACAATGTAAATTAATAGTAAGGGAAAAATATTTACATAGTTGTGTACAATTTATGAATGTCTCACAGACACAAAACATAAATTCAAGATCGTATGTACGTACAGTACATGCGTACGTATATAAGTGCTTAAATCGAAAATTTTTTGGTTATCGCTCGAGTTCGATTATTCTTTCCATTTTGCCTGTCAATTTATTCGAAATAATGAAGGAAAAATCTACAAAACCTTATGTTTACACTCCATACGTTAATCAATCATCACACTTGTTTGCATTGAAAGGGTCAGTACTTATAAAAGTCGTTCCTCAAGCGCTTGTCATCACCGCTTTTTCAGCATTAATAGTCGCACTTTGGTTGCATACAAGCTTCAGGCTTGGAATTAAAGCAAATTTCATTAGCATAATTGCTTTCGTTGTATCTCTTTTGCTTGCTTATAGAACTAATACTGCATATGATAGGTATTCATTATTCTATTATTATTATTATTATTGTCGTGGCCGAAGATGGAAACAATTGAAGCTGACAATTTGACTTATTTTAATACAAAAATCTTTAAAATATTTTGGGCACATTTGATTTTTTCTTTTATGCTTTTTAGGGTTAGAGTGAGTGTGTAATACGAGTATAAATTGATTTTAGTACGTACGTACGTTATTTTTAAATACGTAGAAATTTCAAATTTTCAGTTTCAGTAGTTTCCGCATTTATTGTGATACGTAAAATATCATATATTACCATATGTTACCCAAAAAATAAAAGTTATCGTATAAAATACCGTTATCGAATGCTACGCACCAATACCTTACTTATCTGACCTTAAATTTAACGTACAATTTCTGGACCCCTACGGGTCCAGAAGCTGGAACGTTAAATTTAAAACCAGATAATGGAGTATTTTTTTTTTTAAATAACTATATATTATCGTTATGGATGATATAATTTGATTCTGATGTTGTTTCTAATCGGTAATATACGGTATTACTGTTGTGGCTGAAGTTGACACCTCGATTGATGTTACATTAGCTAAAATTGTTAACTAACACTAATGTGCGTAATTTCAGGGGCTAATTTCAGTCAAGTGCAACTTCAACAGGTGTTAACACGACATTTACCATTCACAGTTAAAACATTCGATGCTAAGTTGTCTTTTTGTATTTAAAGGTACTGGGAAGGAAGGCGTCTATGGTCAACCATGGTAACAGCGATCCGAAACTTGGGTCGGTACATTTGGGTAAATGTTCCAAATATGAATCCTAATGAAATAGATCCTGAAAAGTTAGTTGCCTTTGACCTTTTGGCAGGATTTGTAATTGCAACAAAACATTATCTTCGAGAAGAAGATGGTACTGAATTTTCTGGTGTCCGTTTAGATATTCAACCAATGGGCAAATTAAAAGATGCTGATAATAAAGCTAGACTCAATAAAATACTTAGTCGTCTTCAAGGTTATAGAAAAAAGCCAACACTGGAAAGACAGTTAACTAGTACTGAATTAGTAGTTAATTATAATTTACCACTTGAAATTGCCATGTATTTGAATTACTATATCTCTCAATTGAAAAAAAGGCAACCTGATACAAAAAGACCAGATGATATGTCAATCACTCAAATGTACCTAAACGTTGCCACTCTTGTAGATTGTTTAACAAGTTTAGAGAGGGTTCTTAGATCTCCAATTCCTTTGGCATACGCTATTCATCTTTTACAAACTACCTGGATATTCTGTTTGTCACTTCCCTTCCAATTAGTTGCTGACCTTGAATGGGTCACTTTACCTATAGTATTTTTAGCTTCGGTCATCTTATTAGGTGTTGAAGAGATCGCAAGAGAGATCGAAAATCCATTTGGTACTGATCCAAATGATCTAGCTCTTGACGATTTCTGTGAAATCCTTAGAATGGAATTAAATTTTGTTAAGGGTCATGAAGCTATTGAAGATCAATGGAAAAAGTCAACTGAAAAAAAGTTATCTGATATTAAAGGTGTTAAAGAATCGGAAATTTCTGTCGCAATAAATATGTAATTTTGTATTTGTTTGTGTGGTAATCTGTTAATTATCTTCACTGAATATTTATGTAATTAGTAAACTGTATTTAATATTTTTTGATAGTTAATAAATAGTAATAAATAGTATGTATTTTATCATTAAGTATTCTCTTATAAAATTCCTTAGCAAATAGAATAATATACCTTGTATGCATATTTCTTATATAGAGTGCATGCGTGTTGTAGGGTGGAAACGGAATTTAAGTGGATTCGGAATTTTTATATAAAACCCGCATTTTGGGGTTGATTTTGTCATATATACGCCCTAACCCTAACCCCAATTTAAATAGGAAATTCCAAATCCACTTAAATCCCATTTCCACTTACGACATATACAAAAAGATGCATATAATCGAGCGCTTCGCCCATAATAAAGTTTAAGTTTTTCGTGCAATATGCTTCATGCCCTACACAAAGACGTTCTATAAACTTTAGATTCTGTCCTGTACAAGTGTTCTAAACCTATAATACACACTATAGCAAAATAAACTTTAAATTACCCAACCAGTTATAGCGCATTGTAGGAGTAGACTTTCGTTCTACCTTATCTTAAACACGTGACTTAAAACCGATATTCGATTTCTGCTTTTCGGCCTAAATCCGACGTAAAGTGCTAAAATCGTGGTTAGAGGATAAGAAGTAGATTACCTCACCCAAGTGTTTCCGGCATTCAACGTACCGAATTGGTCGTGGTCATAGTAAAACAGAAAGTTTAAGTTAATAATAGTGTAATGTTAAAAAAAACAGAACTTGAACCAACCCAGAAGAAACTTACCTATAGGAACCAACCCGGCTCACCAAATTTAATCGCCTCTTTCGTTTGAAGATATCAACCTAGCCATTAGACCCGCCTTGTCACAACAACTTAAATATTGATAGTGCTCGATTTATATTCGTTGGTCTTGTCGTAAATTATTCCTAATAAAAATAAAAAATAAAAAAATAAACCGTAAAATGAGTAATTGCTCATTTGAACAATCAAGCAAAACATCATTAAAAAGCTTTCAGATGCTCGATTTTATGCA